AGCGCCTCGTTTGCATGGTCCTGAGAATGAGGATGCGCCGAGTCATGCGATGTGCTCTGGGCCCCCTTTTCGCTAGTTGAAACTCCAGCAACAGTTAAGCTCTATCTACATCATTGGGGAATGGAAAAGAGAGCACTTGAGTCACTTCCCGAACTCCTAGCAAAACTCTCTTGCAAATTCGAAATGGCTTTCAGAACTCCGTATCTCCCTACGAACCAACGCTTTCTTTATTTGGTTTTGAACGTTCAACTTCGTAAGGCTTGAACATGTGGGATTTAAGGCTTTGAAGTTGCCCTAACGTGAAAACGCCCTCTTCATGCCTGCGTCGGGCGCGAGCTCGCCTTGGCTGCCTCGTGTGCAGTCGATGGAAAGACCTGCCAAATTGTACTTAGAGTCTCAGGTAATTGAGGTAGCTGTACTTGTAAGGGTTTAGGGGTGAGGGATAGGAATACTACCAACAAGGTAACTTTATTCTACCTGTTGCATGTGGTTACGGTGTACGGCCATGAGCACGGTAACTGTGCATCTAATCCCCATCTACAAACGAACCTTCAACCGAGAGTCCAGACTGAACGCCGCTTTCAGGAATCATGGGCAAGTCAACATGCTGCCCAGCTGGACTTTCAACACCGGTGTAATCGCCTTGGAAGATACGAGATACGACTCAAGACAGTAATTATAAGTATAAGTAATCGGCTGAACTGATGCGGATAGCAGAAGGCAGTTCCAGTCAGTAGGTTCTAGCTCTTAACCAGACGGCAGTGCTTTTGGAAGATCTCGCATCGCTGCTTCCGATGCAGGTGCAACAAAATGTCATGTGGGATGCGACTAACGTTTGACTTGCTTCGGGGCTCAACGACCGGAGCATCTTTCAATTTTTGACTGCCAGGGCAGAGCACTGATGTAGGGGCCCTAAGAATTAGAATAGGGTTTGGGGGTTTATTATGCTATAATTATAATAAGGAACTCCCAAAATAGTATTGGTAATTATTTTCAGTCGATTCAACCCTAGCATTGACGAGCTCTTAAGTTCGGAAGGCCTGCATCGCTGTGCATTCGCAAGGAGGCGCTATCCCGTAACGTTATCATCCTCAGAATGATGGTAACAGTATGCACAGGAAAAAGAAACAACAAACGTCACATTACCAAAAAACACGTGGCTCATCATGACAGGGCAGTGTACCAGGAGGCGAGGAGCATCAGCATCGGACCGGGGTAAGACTCAAAGCACTGTAGGAAAAAAGGATGATGAGAACAAAGTCGTATGCGCGGCCCGCCAATCTAGCTTTGGAAGATCGCGCGGCCTCAATGTAGCGTGTGCCGATCATCTGACGATCCTGGGAGCATCCGAGTGTTCAAACATCGTCTGACTTGCGGAGAGCACCGTGAAGTGAAGTGTATCTAGGGATCCATCGTGCTTATTAGAAAGCCAGCGAAACGTACACAAGGTGCTGTTACTGCCGGTTGTTTGTCACAGGTTACTTTCTAGTTGCACCAACAATTAATCATTTTGTACACTTCGGAGCTTTGGCTATTGTTTGTGCATTGCTTATAACCAATGCGATCAAGGCAGGATGGCCTCAAGGGCTAGTCGTGCGAACTTTCCGGGTAGTCAAATCGCATGCATGGTAATGCCAAAGCATCATGCAGACAACAAAAACGATCGACTGCACGGCATTCCCTTTTATGGGTGGCCGGGGGCAGGGGGTGCAAGCATCGGGACACCACCAGCAAGGGACTTACCCAATTCCTGAAACCCTGGTAAGTCCTTGCCGGCACGGGCTTGGGCAGCGATTTCCTGCACCCAGCTTACCGGACATGAAGCTACAGGGTGGGTGTCCAACAGCCGTCCTACAAACAGGCCTCATGCGGACCGAAGAGTAGTTCCAGATGAATAGTACTCATCAGCGTTCGAGCTTGGGAGCTGCTGTGTCGTCAAACTGCATAACTGGGGCCAGAGCACTACTTCTGTTGCTGCTGCTCCTTTTGCTGCTGTTGCTGGTTGACGGCCTCGTCGTGCTCGTTGCTATTTGTCACTGCTACATCTACAGCAGGAGTGGCAGCAACGAGGAACACCAGGCACTGCAACGAGAGTGTCAGGCGCCGTGACTGTGAACGTGCAGATACTGCGAAAGCAAGTTAACAAAAGTTGTAACAACTTACGATGGCAAGGTAGGCAATGGCTGGCGATGTCAACAAGGTTCGGGCCGACAGCATTGCAAAGACTACAGACTGGACGACTTCTGGACCGTGCGCAACGGGCGTCGTATGCTGGCATAAAACATGCAAGCCCCTGACAAACAGTACAACATCGGACATAGGGCTGATTATAAACCACACTATCCCCATTAATTCATCCATGGCCCCGGCCCCAGAGCTTTTATTGAAAAGATGAACTGCGCACCAAACTAAAGTGTGGCATCTTACCGGGCCGGTGCAGTGTTGCTTAGCGTATCAGCCAACTGCACGTTTGGATCTCTTGCTCCCTGCGGTACCCTACACTAATAATAATAACAATAAGAATAATAGTAATAATAATAATAACAATAATAATAATACCCTATGCAGCCGCTCACTGAGCCGGATCCCTGCCTCTGATGCGAACTGGACCCATGCCTCTCCCGAGGCTCTACCGGTGGCGCCTTGCGCAGTGCGTGGATCGCTTGGAGAGCAAGCTTCCTTTCCCCTTCAGCATTGTATCTCATCAGGAGTTTGGAAGCTTAGGAAACAACTATGCGAGGAACCCACCCGAACTTTGAACAACCATCGCAGTATAGTCTTCTACCGATTCGTTAGACAATAGCTTGCTGGGCAGTGTCATGACGGCTCTGATACTCAAAGTGCGGCCCTCTGTTTTAACTGCCATTTGCTTTGAAGTCTCCAGGTGTGAGGCAAACTTTCACTTCGAAACATGTTTTGCCGGTGATGTGGGGGTACATGTCGTCCGCACAGCCGGGTGTGCCAAACGGATCTACTTGACCCATCACAGAGCCATTCTTAGCGAAAGCGGCAGCCCATCGTCCCTGACTCAAAGAAAGCTCACAGCTGATGACGTCTCCTCGGCCGAAGGACTCGCCATAGTTGCTGAACGCTCCACAAACACATACCTTTCCGGTCCCTCCGTAGCCAACATGGGGAAATCCCTCGCCGCGATCTTTGCCCAGGTCCAACGAGCCATGCGCAGTCGACCAGCCAAGACGGACGAGCCCCTGCACAACGGTCACTTCGAAGCGGGATTTTGAGTTGCATGACGCCGGAAACGAATGAAATCGCACACCGTTCCACTCATACTTGCTACGTTGCGATGGCCCGAGCACCCGCCACTCATGCCCGTCTGAGCCCTCAGTCCTCACACCACTGTCCTTCTCCAGGCCGTCTTCATCCTTGGCCACAGGCTGTCCAGCGTAATCAGCTTCGCTCGCCCAGGGCGGACGTTCATCCATGTCAAGTGCCAGATCCTTGCATGGCCTATCGAAGCTGCAGGGTGCCTGCAACAAAGTCTGGCGGATGTCAGCTGATCCGTCCAACATCTTGAGGTATCGAAGTGCTTGCTGCAGCTCCGTCCTCAACATATCTGGAGCCACTAGCAGATCCGACGGCAGCATCGCAGGAATGAGTAACACGTTCGGCCACCAACATGTCTCCGACACAACTTCTTTCAAGCTCTGCACCAAGATTATGTGTTCCTGCTTCATCTCATAGCCCAAGACATCAAGAGCGTACCGTCTCACGCCGGTCACATCAATAGCCGGTGCTTCTCTGCCGTCAGAAAACTGGCGATGCGACTTGACATCGCGGTTGTCAAAAAGGGGATAGGAGGCTTCATCCCATGTACTGCCTCCAAACGCTGCCTGTGCCAAGCATTCCAGCAGTGGCTGATAAGTAGCCGGGCGCATGGTTGTGGTAAGCGCCAAGCGGGCTTGAGGCAACCTCGACACTTCTCGGAGGAACTCGGGGGCACCGGGCCTGATGTAGAACGGCTCCCGCCGTCCGTCGTAGCCATCTTCCTGAATGTCTTTTATCCGTGCAGGAGATCGGTACAGTAGGACACAGGAGATCTCTACAAGAATCCAGAATTCCGGAGACTTTGCAGAAGCAGGGCATGATCTCAAGGCTTCGGCCACACTTTCGGCCTCTGCAACCGACGGGCCGCCTTTGTCACCGTGTCGCGTAGTCGAACCTTCCAATGAAGCAATGCCTTGTTGGAGGCTTTGAAGATCTGGGTCCGTGAAAGCGTCCTGTGGCTCAGGCCGGCGTTGGCAATAGCGGCAGGCTCTCTCTGCGAGGCAGAGGTCGCAAAGCATGTAAGATGCTTTGCCGGGAACTTGGCCCGGCCCTGCACAGCGTGGGCAGCAAAACCTCTTCTTTGCATCCTTGTTGCAGTAAAAACAAGCCTCCTGCTCATTAGCAGTCGACCCTGCCGACCACGACATGCGATGAGAAGGGTTGCCTACGGAGTACGAGCCGATGAGCTGTCACTCCTGCAAACTCAGTGAAGACCAAGCAGGGAAAGGCTTTCCGGTTTAAGTGTGCTGTGTTGAAACACCTTTTGCTGAATGTGCTCGTTAATGCCTCGAGGATGCTATCCGTCTCTCAACGAACCTTCAACCATCCATAGCCGGATGGGGAACAGCTAGAATCAAGAGCTTGCCTGAAGGCATCTTTCACTTCGTAAGACCCAGGGTCGACTGCTATGCTCAATCTCGCCTGAGGCTTCGGTCCACTGACTTAACTCCAAAGCTGCTTCAAGCAAAGAAGTATGAAGTCACCATCGTTTGCTTGACTGGTCTCCGCCCAAGGATCCCCAGCATCTGCGCCTTCCTGTCCCATGATCACCTGCGCGGTGGTAACCTTGCTCAGGTTTTTCGGATTCGGTATAATCAGATGGATGAGATGGTAGGCTTGAGCAGGAATATAGCTCAGGGCCCCCGAGCCCCGTAGTCTTGGAAGAACTCCGCAACGTCCGCTTGTGTAGCACTGTACGGCAGCCTGCTGCGGTCAGTCTACGGGTCTTCTAGAGGGGAATAGTCCAGAGGCCACCAAAGATTGGAGGGAGAAAGCACTTGCATTTCAGAGGAATAGCTTCTAGCTAGAACAGGAAGGAAAACTTGCGGGACTCGTAATCGGTTGGCAGTCTTCTTCGAGGTATACGAGGGCATTACACAAATAGTCACTTAAGGGGAAAACCGTTTAGAAGCTTCAACCCTGCGTGAAGATCCAGCATTCCAGCAAAAACAAAGGCCTGGCAGACCGCATCTCCCACAACTCGCAGGCAGAACGTCTGACGTTTGAAAGGCAATCGTCGATGAACTTGCCTGAAGACTGCCTCCTTGACATCTCTAACGAGAGTTATGAACAGACTTCACACCATCCCACCTACCTGACCTACCTACCTGCCGACCCACCCACCCACACACACCCACACACACATCCCAGGACGGGCCCGCGCAATCGAAGGTAAGATGAGCCGGGGAAATCTGCAGGGGATCGCGGACCAAGGGTTCAGGATTGGTTGTGGCTTGTCCAGTCTGGTGGGTCTTCATTGTATAGGAGTTTGGCTGATGAAGGAGCTCCACCGTGACTCTGCACAAGCGTTCAATTTGTGACTGCAAACAGGCTTGGGCCACCCCGCGGCTAGTGTCATGGTTTTACTGACGTGCGTGGAGGGTTTCACGGGCCTTTGACATCTAGGAAGCCAGCCCGTGGCTCTTGCCTTGCAGTTCCCCAAACTACCGTTGCTCTCGAGCTCCGTGGTTGAACCGAGCTTCCAATTTCGCCACTCTTAGGTAAAGGCTCTGACATACGACCTTACGTGTCACCTGCAATTGTTGAGGAATAGTTTAAGCCTTTCTTCATTGGCTTCCTGAACGCATCCCTGTTTTGGCCCTGAGGCATCTGAGCTTCAGCCCTAGGCTGGAAATCGATGAACCTGGCCTGGCCTGGAATTGTCATGTTTGCGCCACCACTCGTGGTATTCCTGGTGGCCGCATTTGCAGCCTCGAGTGATGTGGCTCGTGGGCGGGGAAGCTGAGAGGTCGACGGCTCTGGGACTCGAAATGCCCGTTAAAACGAGGCGTACACTGTACACATGCATCAACCACAGCAGCCAGAACAAGAAAGCCGCCACGAGAGCTGCAGAGCAAAACAGCAGACCCCCTAACATACTCCATATCATAACCCTTTTGAGCGAGAGCTCGGCTGCATCAGGAATACTTCTTCCCGTAGATGGGTAGCCTAGTTAACATCTTGCGATTTCCCAACAGGGTTCCCTGTTTTTAATACTGTTATTGTCGTGTTAGTGTTATTACCATTATAAATTATAGTTACTACCAATTATTGGCCTAGATTCTTCCCTGGTCAACCGAGGCGTGAACTTCGAAGGTGCTGCCTGGCCGAAGACGAAGCTAACTCGTGCAATGGCTTGAAGCTTCTGCCGCCGTACTACGCTGTAGATTGTGTGATTTCGCACGGTTCATGCTCTAGTCGTTCTAGCCACGACAACGGGATATATGTCTATGAGCCATTCGAGGTTCTTGGGAGTCGGCTGGCCGAGATACCACCGATAAGAAATCGGCTGGCTTCTCTGGATCAGTTCTTCCATCCACACTTCGGGATGTAAGTCGAGGCCTGTGTTGCTGCAGAACCCGTAGACAAGTCTCCAGGCGTCGCATTTTGACAAGACCCGGCGCCTGCAGATATAGAAAGAGATGCACGACGGAGTATGATCTGATCTTATAGGTCGACTGCTATTCCGACCACTCAAGCTGACAACGGAGAAGAGCAAGGTCTGAACGCTGGATGCAAACCGCAACGAACGAGCAAAGCGGCCGAAGATCTCGATGTAACGGCCGCCAATCCGATGTCGATCCTTTTGACGCCTCTGCTGCAAGTTGCTTGCCGGAGTCTTCCACGCACCCCGATCTCAGAATCACCTACATATCCATGTCAGATCTGTCCGGGGGCAGGATTTGAACTGAAGTGCAGCGCTTGCAGAAAGAGCCAGGTCTCCAGCTTCGCTTCTTCAGCACTTGGGACGTCGAGGAACTGGACCCATGCCTCTGAAGGGGTCTCTGGGGGAATTGGTGAGGACGAGCCTGCATCTGAAGACCTAAACTGTGCGACGTTGAAAGTTCCCATACCAGTCAAAGCTCCGCAACAAGGGCTCTTCTTATGTTCTATGACCCTGTCCCAAAGTCCCGAATGAAGGCCAACCTCCACCAGTAAACTCGGGAGGTCTGTTTGATGCTTTCACAGGGGGGCATATCTGGCCCCACATCGCCTTGTCAAAGTGGCTTTGGTTCCTCCTTACAGAGTCCCAAAGTTAAGGATGGCCACCGGCACAGGAGATCGTCAGCTTGACTCGAAGCCGTAAACCATCACGACGATGACTCTCCCGCATACAGCCATGATTCTGGTTGTGGGAGCTGCTGTGGCTCTGGTATTGCAAACAGCCTCGAGTCCCTAAACCCCGTCACGAAGCCGCAGAAACCCAAAGTCCAAAGTTTTTCACCACGGATTATTGCGAGAATGCTTTGGAAGCGCATTGCCTCACCACTTGGCCGTCCCTGGGTGTTCATGCCCAGGGCGATGTTCTCCTGTGGGGGTCTTCAAGTTCAAGTTCTCAATCTCAAGCCGCCTTACTACGGTTTCTTGTAAGTACGACGCCTAGACAGAGCCTTTAGGCTTCACGGAAGGCTTCCGTCAGTCGTGCACTTCTTAAATATCTCGCAGGTGATGCGTTCAGCTGGCATGACATGGAGCCCATGGCCTCCATTATACCAAACTCTGCGAGGAACTCGGAAACCTGGCACCATTTCAAGTGCCACAGATGCGAGAGTCAACGCCAAACCTGCAACCAACTCGTCTGCTAAGCTGGCAGAAACAGGACCTTCTTTACAACAGGAGACCTTTCACGACTAAGAAAAAACATGCTGCATCGGAGCCTCCCGCGTACCGGCACTGAAAGGTAGGCCTGGGAGAACCAACAACCACTCCGCTTTGCAGCAATGGAAGAGCAGCAGGCGGAGGAGGAGCAGCAAAGCAGCAAAGCTGTTGGTGCGGGTATCTTTACCAGGACTTCCCAGGCCGCGAGACTTCCGAATTGCCGGTCGCAAATTTCCTGCGTTCGATGCTAATTGCTCCACATCTTTGGCGCTCGCTGCTTGCTTCGTGGAACTTCTGAGATCTAGGGAAGACGATCAACTGGCCTCCTAAGGCCGTGCTGAACCCAGAGCTCCACATCGCCCAGCGCCCCTCTCCGAGCTAAGCTTCCCGGCCACGTAGGCGGAGGTAGCCGGCTCCTGGAAAGTCCTGCAACTGGGTGCTCTTAGAGCTGCATAGCTTTGAGGAAGCTGACCATTGAGCTTGGAAAGTCCAAGCTTTTCGGATTTCAAGGGTTCGACATTTTGGACGATCGCGACTCTTCAACCGCGGCTGCAGCAAGGTAGAAGCTTCGCAGATGTTCGTGCCCGAGACTTCGGGGGATGGTTTTCTGCGTTCCATTCCGACCGTTTAAACTTAAGATGCTTCTGACACGTCGATCTGCAGTTTCTCCTGAAACGCCATGGCCAGCGCTTGACCGAAACCAGTTGAGAGCTGCCGAAAACGATTCCGTTGCATCTGGCTAGCTGTGCCCAAAAGAATTGCTCGTTCGAATGCGGAGTGACACATACAGCTTGGGCACTCACTTCGCAAACTTCGTGTCGCGACTGCCCACAACATGAGACTGCGATGGCTGCGGCCGAATCATCTTGAGGTGCTGGCTCCTCAATGTGTGCCTGCATCATCATGTTGTCAGGATGCAAATCCCTTGGTGTCTTGAGTACATTCGACATTGGTGCCTCTCAGAGAGGAGCGGAAATACACGCCAACAGCGACCTCACTGCAGTTTCCGAGGCACTGCCGGTGTCCGGCGGAGATACCCGAATCGGAGTTGCTAGAACAAGAACTCCACACCCCCAGTGCGATCTTCGGCAGAAGCCCAACTCCTTTTTCGAGCTATCTCCATCTCATTGCCCAAACATCGGTTCGCAGGCCCTGCATCGACGACTGAGGGGTGGTCTAGGAACAATGCGCAGAAAGCGAGGGTTTCCATGCAGTGGGAGTGGGAGTTCGGGAGGAGGGGGTTAGGGCGGTTAGGCCTTCGAGAAGGCCTGAGGGGCATGACTAGAATTTCCGCGTTTGACCTCTCCGATACCGGAGCAACAAGTAAAGGACTTCTTTCTAGGGCTGCTATCCGGTAAGGAAGGAACAGCAACAGCACTGTATGTCACAAGATGATACAGCTGATTGACCAGATCACGAATGCAATGCTAATATACGCATCGTAGCTGCAACCACCGTGACAACACCAAGCAGTCAATCAGCGTACCCCGAACGTCTTGAAGCCTGGGAAATAGATGCGGTGGTGGTGATGAAGATGATGATGGTGAAGGTCAGGATGCTGCTGATGGCGAAAGTGACTGCCAACAAGTGTTACTTGGTGCTCCCTTACTACGATCCTGGTTTTCATACTCATATCCCTGTGATTGAATTAAGTGTTACAACCCACCTCGACCTTGTGCAGGACGGATCCCGTCAGGGCATCGAGCACGTAGACATCCTGGCGGTGCTGTATTGTCAGTGCGGAATCCTCCCCTCTGAATCCCCTACTAAACACTAGACTCGCTGATGCCTTCTCGGTTGAGACGCTAAGCAGCCACTGGGGCGTGGTCACGCCGTAGCGTAAGATGCCCACCTTACACTAGCTTGATGCGACGACATGAAGCACGTGCCCTTGGTATGCATAACCGTCTCTGTGTGTCTGTGCGCATGCGTACAAGCAGGCTTTGTTGTGGGATGCCGAACCGGTAGCATCGTGGGATTCCAAAAGGAAATGTGAAAAACAACCAGCATCTTGCGGAAGAGATGCCATGGCCGGCTTGATGTGGAGCAGTCCCAAACCTGTCAGCTGGATCTCAATCCCTTTCCGTATCTCTTGATCTTGACCTCTACTTGGCCATCTGTGTCTACATCTGCTCCAGGACCCTACGACTTCCGAAGCACATGAATTCAATAGTTCGGAACTTCGCCGGAATTGGAAGCCCTACTTCTTCCGATCCTCTCCAGAAGCATTGAATGCGGAAATTGCGGATAGAAAAGCAAGCTCCGGCCTGAGATGGGTAGCGCACGGCGGCTCGGTGCCTCTTGCAACAGTAAGATGGCTGCAAACTGTGGATGCACAGCACTCAGTCAAGGATCCCCTCCCCACTCCGCGCGGGCTCAGCAAGAATACCGAACCTGAAACTCCGAAATAGCTCGGCCACCAAACCCATCCGCACGATCCACGAGGGCCTGAGACCATCGGCCGTTGTTCGGCGAGGCCAGTTCACCATTGAGGTTCAAAGACCAGACCTCATCTCTCACTTGCTTCTGAGCCTCTGAGCTCTCACAGGGCTGCTCACACCTGTCAGAGCTGTTAGGGGTAGGAACTCTTCAGATTTGTGCCTTTGAGCAGCATTGCGGGCATCATGCATCTAGCTGAGAGCGCGGGGACCCGGCCGTGACGATACCTGAACCATCGCCAGCTGCCAAGAGAAGCGTTGGGGGCGACTCCTGGGTCAAACTGCAAAAGCTTTCCTTCACTGACTATTTTACATTGCTTCAGATTTTATGTCTCTCATCCAAGAGTTGGCATGGCTGCTTCGCAGTTGTGGGACGCGGTCTGCCAGCATTGTCTGCCCAAGGGTATATGCATGCGTGAAAGGCTACAACACGTACACATGTGTGCATATATGCATGCGTTATTGGATGAGAGCATGTATGCAGGCATGCAAGTATGGGTTGGAGGGAAGCTTCCGCTTCTCATTTGTGGCAAGGCACGGAGGTCTGCGCCAAATCCTGAGCTGGGCATGAGGGTCAGCGCAGATAAAGTGCGAGGACCCTCTCAAAACCGAGATGTGATCTCATGCCATCTATGCTTTCAAGAGCTAGAAGCAGGGACATGACACCCTCTGGAAAGCCAAACCTAAACGATGGTAATCAGAAGCTGCTTGCATCAAAGCTCCCTCAAAACCGTGCAAAGCACAACCCTGGACTTCTGGACCCTGACTGGCTCAAGCGTGAGAAGCACCCCGAAGCCCTGCAACCAACTGTGTTTGACAAACCGCGACGTGCTTGGCCAGGACTCCAACTTTGAAATGACCGGTGTGCTCCCGCGCTGGATTTTCCATATAGCTTTCGCGCCCGAGCCATCCGCCATCCAGCCTGTCGCAGAGAAAGAAGAGAAAGAGACAAGGTGATCCATTTTGAGGCTCTCTCGGGAGCAGAAGCCTGTTGCGGACTGAAACACCTAACGCCACCCCACAGATTGCTGTCCTAGAGCCTTCTAGAGCCTAAGGCCTCAACACGTTGGAGCATGCCGTTCGAGGGGCCATTGACTCTTGACTAAAGATGCAAAACGGGCTTTGGCGGAAACTTTCATGGAATCAGGGCTTGCTGTAAGAATTAGGACCAAGTATAGAAAGGATCTGTGTACACTTGTCCTTCTTCGTTTGGAACCCGACAAAACACATAAGAGTTGAAGAAGCCACCATCAAACCACCGGAACACCCTCCTCCTCTAAACGCTACCAAAGCCTGACCCCTCACACCCGAAAAACCCAAACACCCTAAACTCCAACACCCTCCGGCAGACCTTGAAGTCCTCCTCGCTGCATGGCCAGCACGAGCAGGTACCTGAGAGCTTCCAGCTGATAGGTGCTTCCGAAGGAGTGCTTTTTGGATTTTTCCGGCTACTTTCGCATTTCAGGTTCAGGGTTTCTGGTCTTTGGGGTTTGGGGGGTAGAGGACTCCGGCTGCCATACCTGGTGAGCAGTGCGGCCCTCACTTCATAGCATCAGGGAGCTTCCTTGCTCTGTGGCGGACGCAACTTTTACGAAATACCGCAGGCTGCAGGTATCAGGTGGGATTGATCACATGAGGCACAGCTAGATCTGTCCCCAGCCGGCTGGAGCACTGGCGCAACATTGTTTTCAGGTGGCCGCTTCAAGAAGCCATACATTCGTCCGAGACATACTCTCTCTCTCTCTCTCTCTAGACTCCAAACCCTTAGCCGCTTTGGAGCTCCCTTAACTCGATGTACCCCTGCTGCTGGAACAGACTCATTGCCATCATCTGTAAGCAGGAATTTGTCAGGCCTTGTTTTGCGATCGGATCGTCGGTTGCACGATAAAAATCGCGTTTGGAGGCAGCATGGAGAATTTCTGAGAATAGCCGGAAGCTCGCCATGGCATGGGTAAAGATGCATCTTATAAGGTGTAGAAATCACAGAGCCGTTTAGTAAACGGCCCTGCACATCGTGAACTCCTACAAGAACCGAACCTTAGGCCTTAAACTCCACGCTCAGAATTCGCAAACACTCTCTGACGCCCTGCCCTACACCAAGCCCCACAATCTTGAATGCACGCATCCTTCGAAACCCTGACACAGAAGCAGCGCTTTTAAACCCGATTGAAAAAACAGCCTGCGACCTCCTAGAAACCGCGTCTTAGCCCCCAGTAGGGGTTTAAGGTTTTAGGTTTTAAAGGGTTTTTAGGGGAGAAAATATTATATAGGGTTTAGGGTTTAGGGCTCAATCTTAACTCGAAAGCCTTGGACATTGGCGCCTGCTTGCTTCACCAGCTAGGCGAAGGATGCTCGCAGCGGTGACCTGTAGAAGCCGACGGCGAAGCGGCTCGTGGGTAGCTATAAGTGGGGTTTTTTGTAAGTAGGATAAATAGGGACACTATAATTTTACTTCAAGCCGGATTTATAGCCGCCCTTGTAACTTGTAACAAACCCAGAAGGGGCCCTTTTGAAAGGAGGACCCGTGCGGTTGTCTTTTTTATTGGTTGTTGCTCCTGTTGTGGGGGCACCGAGGGTTCATACAGGAGGAATTTCTTGGTAACGGACCTCCGTAAAGTTGCCCTCTGCAGGGACTTTGTAGCACGTCACGGCGGAGTCTTGTAAATCCGGATTTGCAAAGCGGATTCCTACACTGACTGTGTTGACGTAGGATTTGGGTCAAGGACAAGAGGTGAGGAAGTCTGTGCCCATCGGGAACCTCTCTGCTCTCAACGCGAAAACGAAGACGATCTCGAATGTCGTGAGGTGCCAGACACTGCTCTGCATGGGCTGTTCCGGTCTACCGCTCTCCCGAAGCAGTTCCCTCTCTCAGAAGTCTGTGGTTGGCCTGGGTGGCGCCCCCGTGCAAGTGAAAAAGCTCCTGGCCGAATTCGAGCTATGGCTAAGGAGCTGGAGGGCTTTGGAACTGGGCTTGTAGAGAGGTTTAGATTGCAGCGACCGTAGTGGCTTGGCCTAGATACAGGATGACTCTGGGCTTGCTGGGTTTGAACGCGATGGTTTTCCCACCACCTGCTCCCTGTTATTCCCGGTGCTCACTTGCTGGACATAAATACTCCAGGTACGCCTTGTAGACCAGAATCAGAAGCAGGACGAAAATCCTCGAGTTTATTCATGCCACGCTCTCTGCGGCATGACTGCAAAGCAGGAAAGCCGCTACAAGTGAGGCTCAAGCCCTTCCTGTATGACATCGAACTTTCAGACCACAAGGCCCGCAATCCAGACCGTGACGATAACAAATGCCGCTCCTTTGGCTCATCATGCGCCGGGATGTGGAACATCATAACGTTGTCCTGTGCTGAGTGCTCAGGGTTCGTGCAGTGGCTCGGCAACGCAGTTTCTGAAGCCCTATCCAAACGAAGCCGACAATGGAGCCGTGAATTTCTAGCAAAATCTGCCACCCCCCTTTCCTCGCGCAGAGTCGAACGAAGCACTACCCTGCTCGCAACAGTTCATGTCTCCGGCTCAACCTGCGGAGCGTGAATGCAGGCTTTTCAACAAAGGAGATGCTGGGAGCCAGCAAGACATTGCTGAAACCTGATAGCCTCAGGCACTTTCTAAAGCGATGGGAAAAATCAAGAGCTTTGCGTGCATGAAACTCAAAGGGTCCTGGCCCTAGCAATCAGCCTGGGCCCAGGAGCCCCAATTCCCCGAGGAGCGGTGCTCCATGGCTCTGCAACAGCCAGATTCCCAGCTCACCAACTTTGGGCGGGCCCGAGGCGGGCATCTGCTGGAAGCTTTGCACGCCTTTCTCCTGCAGGGCTTCGGCTCCCAAGATTCCAGGGGCAGAAACAGTGACAGGAACTTCTCCGAAGTATAGGGCTGATACTACGGAATGATCAGCAGGATTCCTGAAGTCATACTGAACAAGTCCTATCGAGTTCGACGACATTTCGGAGAAAACAAAAGGCAGGTGGGTGGAAGCTCCGGAAGTTGGAATCCGAAGCTCAAAGCCACGAGCCAGAAACAGCAACTTGTAGAAAATAGGCCCCCGCAGCTCGACTAGGACGAATTCCAGCAAGCAGAAATCTGCGCAAACGGTCGACACACATTTGTGTGCAGCTTCCGTGTTGGCGGAGTTGGAGGCTTCAGCACTACTACCCGAAGGTGTGAACAGACCATACCCTGAAGTAAGCACATCCCTGAACCCTGCTACACCCTGAGCCGCTACGTATGCTCTTCAGGCCCTCCTTCAGCATCTCGAGGGCTTGCATCTCACGCGGGGGATGGCCTCGGCTCTTTCTCACACTTTCTCAACAAAAGCTGCGACGTTGGGCTTGAAACTGGGGGCGCGTTCTGGCGAACTGCAACAAGCTCCGATGAGACTTGTTCGGTGCCTCAGAGAGCCGGATTCAAGGAGTCGTTGGCCGCTTTGCTTTGGTAGATTCGGCCTTTCTTCCTAAGATGAATGCAAGCTCTGGGTCCTTGGGGAAACGCCACCCAAAAGCCTAAACATCAGTAAAATCAGAATTCATTACCACAACCCCAACTAAGCACAGCACGAGCTACATCTCCATCATGCAAACATGCGAACTACGTGGCCTCTAGGTGGCGTAGGCGTTAGCATCCTCGAAAACCCTGAAACGATCTTCGGAACACAGAAAGAATCGCAGCCCCACGCTACCAAGCCGCGGATCACCGCCGCCAGGACAGCAGCTGCCAAAGGTGCCGCGAGCGCTGCGGCCAAGGTCTCGGCCAAAGGCTCCTTGAGGGGGTCGGGAGTTTACGGGTCAGGATTTGGGGTTTAATCAGGGGTTAAGGGTTGGGTGAGGAGGACTGAAAGTGAATTTGGTTGAGATTTGCGGCAACATGGGGCTGGAACGAGGAGCAGCGCAAGGTATTTTGGGTTTACAGTCTTTAGGCATTGGCGGCTTGGGTTGTACTTTTGGGATCTTTTGGGGAGCTTGAGGGTGCAGTGCCGTGGAAATTTTCGAACTACGGTTTCACACAGCTCGAGCCCTTTGCACGTCTTCGACTGGGCTGAAATGCAGCCACAGCCAAATCACATCAATTTCGTCAACCTGAGCTCTCAGAACGGCTCCCTCTTCTTAGCATCGAAGGGCCTCGATTGCTATCCCGTCCCCTTCCCTCATGCATTGGTCCCGCGTGTCATCCTCGAAGATGTCCCAGCCTGACGGCATGTACCGGGTATCAGCAACCGGGCACGATACGAACACCAGTCTGCCGAGAAAACAGCAATCGCAATCACAGCAACCATCACCGTTCTGTCACCAAGGAACCATCACCGTTCTATCACCAAGAAACTGGTTGTAGCAACGGCGACAACTATAGTAAGCATGAGGGCATTAGCAGTCTAGCAACGGCCACAATAAAATTGTACTAATTACGCCTTAACGAACAGTATGTCAGAGGTGATTATATCTATGTATTTATATAAATAAGTATATATATATACACACACACATACATATCACATATCAACAGCCGCAGAAACAGCAGTAGTGGTGGTGGTGGTGGTGGTGGAGGTGGTGGTGGTGGTGGTGGGGTTGGGCATGCTAGTACCAACTCTCATTCCATTGTGTCCCTACGACAGGAAACTGCAAGAATAGAAGACGCTCTGTCGCAGCATAGTGCACCAACAGTAATTACACGTTTCAAAGCAGTCAGCAGCAGGAGCAAATACACCCCCTTAACCCGGCTGCTGTTGCAGAGCTGTTGCAGAGAACGATAGCCATGAACTCGCAGCGGACAAGGCTGAACCAGAGTTCAGCACCCCCAACGACGTCCCCAACTCAACGACTGTTGCAGGCAATGTCAAGCTACATTCGTGCTATGCGGGCCTCCCCAATAAAGCACCTCACAAGCCACCACCACTCGTGCTGGACCGAGCGTCCTCAGAGACCGAAGAGGACAGAAGGCGGTTTTGGAGTCTAGGTACTGAGTTTGAAAGACTTTTGGCCGAGACCAGGCGAGAGTGTAGAGGAGCTTAGACGAAGCACAAAGGACTTGCCCATCGTACATCTGTGCATGTATGTGAGACTCCCAACTCAAGAGCAAATGCGAGACCCTTGTACAAGCTATTGCTGCGAGCCTCCATTTCCCTGGTTACATCGCCAGCTTTGGGCTTGGAACCTCCGCTAATTACTTGGAATCGGGGCAATCAGTTCCGGATGCGTAATTCAACTTGAAAACGCAGACGGACTTTTGAAGGTGCCTCCTAACTCTACGCTTTCATATGCTGCCCCCCCCACATAACAGATAAATAAAGGTTCCTTATGTATCACACAGGCAGAAATTAGCACCAGGAATTGAAGGCCCAGTGGATTAAATCTATGGCAACCTTTAGCACCAGAAAAAGCACAATCATGAGCACACAATTTAGCACCAGAAAAAGCACTGTCATGAGCACAGAATTTGCCGAACATCGCGACTTCAAGAATGAGTTCATGTGGCGAATTATTGGCTTTGATTTGTAATTACTTTAAAAAAGCACAATCATAAGCAGCAAATGTAGCGCCAGAAAGAGCGCGGTAATGAGCACAAAATTTGGCACCAGAACAAACATAATCATGAGCACAAAATTTAGCATCAGCAAATTGCGGTTTTGCAAGTGTTTTTTGTTGTGGTTCTGTTTGTGGTGACTGTTACTAGGGCGGGCGACATTTAAAGCTACGCTGTTCATCCGAATACTTTTTAAGTACTGAGGAGCCTGACTCCCTCTCCCCTCTCTCTCTCTCTCTNNTCCCGGGCATAGGGGCAGGTCAATGCCCCCAGGCTTAAAGCCCGCCCGATGTTTTATCGGGTTTAGGGGAGTGAAAGTCGTGTGTAGATCATCATGTGGGCTAAAGCCAAAAAAATGATAAGATGGAGATCATGATGATCGTACACACTCCATGTCTCGCTCTCTCTCTCTCTCTCTCTCTCTCTCTCTCTCTCTCTCTCTCCCCCTCTCTCTCTCCCTCTCCCTGTCCTTCTCCCTCTCGCTCTCGCTCGCTCTCTATCTCTCTCTCTCTCTGTCTCTTTCCCCCTGATCGCTTTTGAAGCTCTGTGCGATCCGGCGGATCTCCATCAGATTCTGCTCGACTCTCTGCCATGACCGGAGTGTGTTTGCTCCCCCTCGGTGTGCTGCTGCCGCTGGCCAAGTTTCCCCGGCTGTCTGCCGCTGGTGTGTCTTGTTGCGGCGATTGTGTCTGTGGCAGTGTGTCGCTGCTGCTTGTGCCAGTTGCTGAGGCTGTTGTGGTGCTGGGTGGGCATGAGCTGGGGTGTGGGAGAAGTCGGGTTATGAGACTGCATGAGGCTGGTCTCTCTCTCTCTCTCTGTCCCTCCCTACAGGCCATTTGCCTGGATCTCGAAAGCTCACCAAGAGGCAGTCGCTCAAGGGCCGGCAGGTCTCCGAAAGGCAGCGGCACGCACTCAATCTCTGCACCTTGTGCCATGCCCTAGAACAGGTCCATCACCAGCACGGGGTCTATCTTTGGGGTGGCTTCTCTTAAAGGTACGCAAGTGTAGTCCGGATTCTGGCGAAGTCCCCCCCCCCCCCTTTTCCGATGAAGCAACCTTGGATCGGATCGGGCATCGTGAAACCCACACTCCAAATTGCAAACCCAAAGCTTTTCGTCAGGGAGCCGTTCAGCTTGGACGTCTCTGACATGAGCGGAACGACATCAGGCAAGTCGGAAGCAATCACCTGACATAAGCAGCAGTTTACGGCTTCGGGTTCAGGGATTTTGGGACTTTGGCATTTTTTGGGGTTGTGGGCGTTGTGTCCAGTGATTGGTTCACAGCCTTGGGTCGAGCCCTCATGCTTTGTGGCTTCACGCATTTCGGGGGCTGACGCTTCGCCTTAAGCATTTCAAGGTATGGACTCGATTTATGGTCGAGTGTTCGGGTAGGTCAGATGGCAAGAGGTCAGAAGCCAAAGAAGCGCACAAAAAAGCTCGTTTAAATGAACCATGCTGACATCAAGTTCCACTAAGCTCTACATCAATGACGGGTCATGTGGTGCGAAAAGGGTTTGAAGGGATCGCGGCCGGAAGCGTAGGAAGTTATGGGGACTAGCGACAACATCATCCCCGAGCAAAGAAGTTATCTGACAGGCGAGACGCTCGCTTCAGAGCTGGCTCCTTTGCGAAAGCGCACCTGCAGTTGCAGGTTGCGTGTCTTCGGTTGAGGAATTCGGTCTAGGGAAGGACGGGAAGGAGACCCTGACAGTCGTGAGTCAGGCTTCTGGCTCTTCCCCAAAACCGGCAACCCCTCAAGCCCCACCCTTTTCCTAAAGCCAAACACGAGCTGTCCAGTCTAACACACTCGAAACTCACCTTTCAAGACCCTGAAGCCACCGAAGCCCTGAACGACTTCAGCCTGAACACCGGATGCCCAACTCCCTGCTTGACACTCCAAAGGACATACCAACCAAGGTAAATCCTCATTAATAGCACTGAAACGCCAAAAGACAACCTTTACCGGTCAGCCCCCGCTCATACTTCCCAGAACATCTACCAAGACGAGCCAAACAACACCATACTGAGAGCAATCTCATATGCAGATACTTCGTTAGATAGATAGATAGACAGATAGATAGCTAGATAGATAGATAGTGTTGTTTTGTAAACTATTCAGCTGGCGCACGCCAAAGCCCCACAGCCGGCCCCCAGCTCCAGGAAATCGATGCCTCCGCTGTTGGGGGGGGGGGGGGGGGGG